TGAAAATTGTCATCCCTCTCTAAAATCCTGGATTCGCTACTAATATTCAGATATAATGAATTATTTGTTTGTGTCAGTTTTTCACCATTATGTTTGTTCTAATCTAGGCCATGTTAATGCCCTTTCCATTACAGTCTATTCATAAAAATAATTCACTCAAAACGTAATCAATCAGTGAAAGTTATCAATTAGTTCATCATTCGATTCCGATGATATTATCGAACTAGAGTCTTCAATAATATCAAGTAAATCAATAAATGTTGGTGTTGTATCACCACTACCATCATTCATATTTAAATGACGTTCAACAATATTAATAGCTATTTATGTTATTTGATCAGTACTTTGTTGTATTTGGTAATTCTTCAGAAAAATCAATATTTAAATGAAATGTATTTGATGTTTCAATAGATTAATAGTTTTCATTAAAAGCTGGTCGTCGAATGACTGAATTAGCTTGTATTTCAATTTTATCGAGAACTGAATCAATATTATCAAGAATTGAATGAATTTGTGTTATCATCATTGATTGAATGGGTATAGATGATTGGCGAATAATTGACTGTTTTACAAGTGTTATTGGTGATGGTAGTGGTGGTGATTTAGTAATTAGTGATGTTGATAAAGACATTGATGTTGGTTGAAATTGTAAATCATCATCATCAATAGGATGAAATTTTTTTCGTTCAATATTATCAGTTATAGAATGAACTTCATTAATCAATTGTTTATTTGTTAATTCTTGATTAAGAGTCAAGGTGGCTGTTTCGTAGGAAAATGAAAGTATACTTTTCGATAAATAAAATAGAACAACATATAATCTGACTTATGAGTGGTTCAAAGACATGAAAGTCTTTGTTCTTCTTATTAGCATTTGTCGAAAATGCCACTAGTAAAGATTAGAATTCTTTGATTGTTGTGAATTAAAAACATAAGGAGAAAACATCTCTGAGAAAATTATATATATAATATGAAATTGTATTTTTCACTGTATTGATTCGTAAAAAGACACTTTTCCCTTTTATCTGTTTGGGACTCGAAAAAAGTTGTTCCTGTTGAACGTCGAGTGTAATGAACTTGCACAGTTTTCTACAACTTCGAATAGGATTAAACTTTCACAGCATGTTCCTCCACTCGTCACATCGATATAGCATTAGCACAAATCAGTGAGAACATTCAAGGGTTGAGCTAAAGGCTTTATATTAGATCGTGTTTCACAAAAGATAAATATTTAAAGAAGAAAAAAAATTTTAGCAACGTTCGATGTTGTAGTGATAGGAATAATTGGTTCTATATCTTTTGAGATTTTCGATTTGAATAAATTGATTTTCAGAATTTTTAATATTCTTTTTTAATTTAATTTTTTTCCTATGCAAATTTAACCGATATTCATTATTAGTAAAAAGTTCTAAAAGTATTGTTAGACTATCTGATGTGATAAATGTGTTAATCTAATTAAATATAAGATTTTCAAGACCAAAGAAAAAAAAAAGAATTATTGAAGAAAAATATGTTTTACAGATAGAATTAATTGCTTGTAAACGATATTGTTCATCATTAAAGATAGAAAAAAAGAATTGAAGAGTATTCGGATTGAATTGTAAATTATTAAGATGAGATTTATGGTTTACATGATTTACTGCCGTGAGATTTACTGCCGTGTAAACATTTGTTTACAAATAGACCTTTTTGTTTAAGAAGTTATATGATTCACTTCGATAAGTCTAATGATCACGATGGAGTATACTTTTGTTTTCTATGTCAAAAGTTTATTTTTCATGTCAAACGTTTGTCAAAATCTATTGAAATCTAACTATAGTTCGTAATGAACTTTATGAAAAAAACCTATTTCATGTCAAAGGTTTATTTTCCTTGTCAAACGTTTGTCAAAATCTATTGAAATCTAACTATCGTTCGTAATAAACTTTATGAAAAAAAACCTATTTCATGTCAAAGGTTTCTTTTTCATGTCAAACGTTCGTCAAAATCTATTGAAATCTAACTATAGTTCGTAATGAACTTTAGGAAAAAAACCTATTTCATGTCAAAGGTTTCTTTTTCATGTCAAATGTTTGTCAAAATCTATTGAAATCTAACTATCGTTCGTAATGAACTTTAGGAAAAAAACCTATTTCATGTCAAAGGTTTCTTTTTCATGTCAAACGTTTGTCAAAATCTATTGAAATCTAACTATAGTTCGTAATGAACTTTATGAAAAAAACCTATTTCATGTCAAAGGTTTGTTTTTCTTGTCAAACGTTCGTCAAAATCTATTGAAATCTAACTCTAGTTCGTAATGAACTTTATGAAAAAAACCTATTTCATGTCAAAGGTTTATTTTTCATGTCAAACGTTTGTCAAAAATTTATTGAAATCTAACTATCGTTCGTAATGAACTTTTCGAAAAATGACTACTTTATGTCAAAAGTTTATTTCTCATGTCAAACGTTTGTCAAAATCTATTGAAATATAACTATAGTTCGTAATGAACTTTTCGGAAAAAAACCTATTTCATGTCAAAGGTTTATTTTTCTTGTCAAACGTTCGTGAAAATCTATTAAAATCTAACTATAGTTCTTATATTTTTTTTTAGGCTTTTACACTAATGTATTTTAATTTCTAATATTTCTAGAATGACTTCCTATTAAATATATTAAATCAAGCGATTTAATAGATTGCTAACTTTACTAAACAGAATAGTAGTATTGTAATGCATTACTGATTTTCCTTAATGGTATGTTGTGATCATTAGCTTATCTTAACTAGAAATCATATAACTTACCAATTTGGATATATAATTGTTTGTTGTGCACATATGAGATTTTTATTTTAAATTTTTAATAATTTTTATTATTAATGTATAGCTGTATTGATATAGAGATCAATAATTATGTTCACGAAACGAAAGAGAAGTGCGCCTTTTATGAAATTGATTCATTATTGTTAATCAGAAAAATTCATATATAAACTATTGATAAATTGAATTTTTAAATTTTACAAAAATAATGTAATAATATATATTAAAAATATATAAATAGAGGAGTAAGGGAAAAAAAGATTAAAGAGGAGGAGAGAGAAATATATGCAATGAATGTGTGTTATGTTTAAACATTGTAAGAAATAATTTATGAATCTATTATCTTTTAGTGAATAAAAGATTTATATATTAATAAATAGAGCATATTATTTAAATGAAAAAAAAAGATAGTTTATTTTATTTTTTTCCAAGACAATATAGTATTGTTACATTCAGGATCTTTACATCGAATGCTATATGTATAATTTTTAATATTTATGATGATAGCTACGTTGTTATGTTGATGATGATTTTTTTTCTTTGGACAATATTTATAATGACCTGCTATATTGAAAAATAATAAATTTTTATTATAAGTTCCTCTAATGCATGAATGTATATAGCCTTGATGAGATGGATCAGATGTAATGATGTTCTGAACAAAAATCATAAATATTTGGATATCAGGTACAGATAAATCTAGCTTATTAGATTTATTTAGATGTAATGAAGAAGGGGAATTTTGATTTGTATTAGTATTTGTATCTAGATTAAGAAAGCATGAATGCTCTATGTGATCATTAATTAATTTAATATTTGATAAATTATGTGGAATTGTAGTTGTTGAATTAGAATACGGTGAAAAATGAATTATAAAATTTTTATTTTTGAAATAAATTTTTGGTATTTGATGATCTTCAATTAAGGTAATTAATGATTTTTTAAGAATGTCACTAGATGAATATTGTAGTGAAGAATCAAAAGGAAATATAGTTGAGGGAATAAGGGGATTGTTTTTTCCGTATTTTACACTATTAAATAAACGAAATTGTTGGTTTTTTGAATAAACATTGATGTCAATCGCTGTAGTCCATTTATCTGTTCTACTTCGTACAAGCAAATATGAAATATTAGCAATTGAAACGTAAGGAATCGATATTGTACATGAAGTGCAATGTTTTCGTAATATATTGACATATGGACCTAAGATTTGAATTAAATTTGATATTGTACATGGTTCTGATGGTGAATTGATATTAAACATTGTACATTTATGTCGAATAACTGATAATAGGAGAAAATGAATTATAGCTTTGAGGAAAGTACCAAGAGATGATACATTTTCAAATAAAACTGATGGTTTTGAATGTATAAAATGATAGGATATCTTTTCGTTTGTTGATCTAATAACGAAAAAAAACAAAGATATAATAGATTAATTGAGGAAAATAAATATACGTGAAATTTAATCATATTATTCTATTTTGGAAAGAGAGAGAGAGAGAGAGTAATAAAAAGTTGTATGGCATGTTAAAAAAATATGATCACTTACGCTTGTAAAACTAGAAATTGTTTTAAAATCTTTTGTGTATAAGTTTCGATTGTATCAATAGTATTATTTGGAATATTTAGAAAATAGTAAAGTATTTTAAGAGAAGATATAGGACCAATGTAATGATTTTCTATATCAAGATTTTTGTCGATGTAGTACTCATAGTCAATATATGTTTTGACAGGCTTCGAAAGAGATATAAATTCATATAAAGTTCGATCGGATACAGGACAATGTTCATATAATATTATCAGTTGTTCAATGGTAAGACGACAAAATTGTCGAGATTTATTTTCTTTTTCTATACTTATATAAATATCATTTGTCATAGTATTTTGATCTGATGGTTCATTAGTTGAGTCATTTATATGATGAGTTATAATTTTATTTGGAAAAAGATTTTTGATTAAATTCTGAATAAAGCCCATGATGTATTTATTATTAATATATGAGTATATAGATTATTCGATATTAATTTCAAATGAAAACATTATTAAGCGCTTAAAACAATATATATTATTATACATAAATAGTGTCTTAGAAATTAATTTTTTAAAAATATTCTGTTTGATACTATGGCATTCGAGAAACAAAATATCAAGGTCAAGAAAAAAAATAAAGTATTGATTTTAATATCGATTCATCATCATTTTTTTTCGAGTTAAATCAAAATATCAATTAGTTAATTATTTAAAGAATATGAATTGAATTTTAGGTGATATAATGAAGTGAGTTCGGATAAGCATTTATAATGATTGAAAAGAAAATAAGATGTAGTATTTTATTGTTAGGTTAGATGAAATTTTTAAGAAATTTTATTTTGTTTTTGTTTTTAGTATAGATTCTAGATTAATTTTATTTGTGATATTAAGATATAATTGATAAGTTAATTTAAATAGTTTAAGAGAAAAGAAAAACACATTATACATTGCTTTTTAATTAATATAATGTCAAACTAAAAAATAAAATCATTAAAACTTGATTAAATACATTCTGAATTTTTTTAAAGTTAGAAGAGTATTGAATATTAATAAGGTTCACGTATTAGAATGATTCAAACAACAGTTACACGTGTATTTGGCATAGAAATGAGTGTACGTGAACCTAAATATTTAAAAAATGTTAACGATTTTTAAAAAAAAAGAATGTATGCAAATCAATTTACCATTAAACCAATCAATTTTGACATGTTTTAACTTTAAAAATTTATTAATTATTATTCCCGAAACTTTTTTTCCCTAATAATAATAAAATTAAATAAAATAATTTTTTTATATAATAGAACCTGATCATTCCATAATGTTAATTTGATATGAACATCATCCTGAGCAACATGGAGTTCACGTCGAGTCCACATATTGGAGTTGGTATTTCCTACGGTTATTCCATAATCTCTTAAAACTTTCACGTGAACATCTATATTACATGATTCATTATATTAATTATCAATTTTTTAAAATTAATTTTCATTAATGAATACGAACCAATTATTGAATGTAATGGTAGTGTTTCAAGATGACGCAAATGTGTAAAATTATAGATTAATTGGTACTCGAACGGAACAATAATTTCTCGTACTTTACTGGTTTTAGTTGTAATCAATTGGTAATCATGTGGTAATTTTTTATAAGCAGGATCAACAGTACGAATAGATAAACCGTTGAATTCATATGACTATATATACATATATATATAATGAAGTAATTTTTTTTTAATAATATTTTATTACTTTGCCTTCAATTAACTTGGTCGACATCATGTATGAATCGAGATTAAAGGCTACTAAATTTATTTCGCTCGTTTCATCTGCTAAATCACAGGTGAAGACTTCTCCTTCACCATTTGAGTTAACGTATGTTCTTTTTTGATGTTTATATGTAACTATGGCTCGTAATGACCATCTGCATTATATGTATAAGAGGATATAAAGAAAAAAAAATTATGATGAGAATTAAATATTGACATATTTAAATTATTCTTTTTTAATATAATGCAAAATTATTTATTATATATGTATATATCAAAAAAATGAAGCATATACTGGCTTAGATAAATTAAAAATAAATACATGTAAAATATATTAAAAAAAAACAAGTTAGTGAGAAAAATGAAGAACTCACGGAAAATCGATATCAATATTAATTTGATTGATTTTTAATAAATTTGGTTCATTATCTTCAATGAACATTAAAATTAAATTCTTAGGTTATAGATGGAAATAGAATATTTAATCATTAGACAATGCAGGAAAATTTGTTCGAATATATTCAAAAGGTTTTTTATCAGAAATATTTTTATTTTTAGAAATATTACATTTTATTCTCTTTTTTATTTCTTTATGAAACATACTATTTTGTATATTGATGATTTCAACAATATTTTCTGTTGTTTCTTCATTTTGATCATTTCGACTAATTATGTTATTTGTATTACTATTATTATTTTGATTAATACTACCATTTATGTTACCAAATATATTAGCATTAATATTATGATTAAAAGAATGATTATTAGTTTCGTTATTATTAGGATTTAAACTATCATTATGATTAGCAATATCATTACGATTAAGAACATTATTATGATTACCATTAATATTAGTATTATTATTATTATGATTAAGAGCACCAATACTACTACCATCACTATCATCATTATTATTATATATATTATTATTTAAATTTTGTTCGATTGATATAGTTAATGCTGATTGAATATTACTTCAAAGAAAAAAAAGCATATATATATATATGTATTTATCATAAATGAAATATCTTACACTTCATTTGAAATGTTGTTCATTAATTCTTCATACATCTCGATTACTGATTGTTGAATATCCATTTTAATCTGAAAATAAAAATTTATATTGTCTTTACGCATTGTATTTCAACTGAAAAATTTGCAAGCAAAATTAATTCAACTAAAAATAAAAATAGTTATTCATGGTATGTTCATGTTCAATTAGAAAAATGATTTGTTGTTGAAGGTTCATTTCCTAGTTCATGATTTATAGATGAAGCTTCAGTTGTTTGTCGTTCCGTTAATGATGATAATACAGTTATTTCTTGTTCAATTTTTTTCTTTTTCGTAAAGGTAATTCCTTTAGGACCTTTAACATTATTTGTTTCTTCAATTTTTCCTTTACCTTCTTCTTCCATTTCTCGTAATATACTTAAATATTGATCTTTACTAATTTTTCTTTTCAGATTTGCAGGTAATGATGATAAGAGAAGACGATCACATGGATGATTTTCAATATATTTTTTTATGTGGTTGACTTCTTCTGAAGGTATGTCAATTGTATCTAAAAAATAAAAATTGTATCAGTGATATAGTCGCTAGATAGAGATTTTTTTCTATTAAAAGATTTTTTTCTGCTCTTTTGATTATTATCTATCATTGATATTCAATATACATATTAAAAATGAATTATGAGGCAACTTGCCCTTTCCTGTACATTTTTTTCTTTTCATTCTTGTTTTTTCTTTTTCTTTTTCTTTCTTATTTTTTTTTGAAAGTTTGTAAAAAATAAATAAATAAATGATATTGATTAATGGTGTAAGAAAAAAAAAGTATTAATTACATTTGTTATTTCCTATAACATTATCTGTTATAGGATCATAACCAGCAAGTATTTTTGTCTGATTAAGATAAAACTTTGTTAGTAACGATGCTCTAAATGTTGTATCATAATCGATTAAATGTTCAGCTTCACTTAATTGTTGATCTGTACAAATTGTTTTAAATCGATCATCGAAAATAGCAAATGATTGAATACTATCAATCATGCTAAATAGACGACGAGCACTATTTTTAAAAACATGTAAAGCCAACGATAATCGCTCTACACGTTCAATGGACTTTTGATAGAGACTATAACTTAGAAACTCGATGAATTGATTTTAGAAAAAAAAACAGGTGAATTACCTTGCGATGAAATCGTCATCGTTTGATTTATCGGACGAAACAACATCATAATTATAAATTATTTCTTTCATAAATTTTTTTGCTAAATAGAATAAAGAAAATAATAAATCAATTTCTATAGTAATAGTAAAAATACCTTCTTCATTATAACTATATTCTTCAATGTTACGATGCAATTTTTTAGTTATGTAAAATAGATGCGTTAATTTGGGAATTTTATTGTTTGGTTCAACTATATCACGATTAGGACGATTTTTATATGCTACTGCAATCAAAAATCTATTAAAAAGACCATCATCATTTTGATCCTGGTCCTTGAGACCCATTCCTAATATATAGAATAATAAAACATATGTTAACAATTTATTTGAAATAGAATTAATTCAAAGTAAGTATGGCATTATATTAATATTAAAAAAAAAAGTATAAGACATCTATTTGTTTTTTTTTAATTACATACCTGTTAAACATTCAATGACTTTTTTTGGATGGCCAGCAGCAACAATATTAAGACGTGGTTTTATCATTAAATTTTGACGAGTAACTAATTGTCGACGTACAATACCAGTTGGACTATAAAGTTCGCACATCAATCCACGATCATATGCTGTTCTATCAATTCTTGTGCTACCAAAAAGTCCAAGAAACACCGAAAATTCATCCCATAGCTATAATAATTTAATTTATTATATTTAATTAATGGAAATTATATCAAACTTGTATTAGATTTGGTTGTTTTTCCAATTCGCAACATAAAGATTCCATATTGGCTGAAGCATTGATGGAAGATTTCTGTACAGTAATACTGTCTAATGCTTCTACTGCTTCACATGCTTCTTTTACGATTCTAATAGGTGCACTTTTTTTAGAACCTTCAAAAATAAATAACAAATTATCAATCTATGAAGTATCATAACTCTTGATGGCATTTTATTGTTTTTTTTTAATTTTAAATAATAATAAAAATTTTATACGATGCTTTTCAAAAAAAAATTAATTTTCAATTTTTTGCTCAATTTATCACTTATACAAGTCAAAGATATTTAAAAATTTTGTATTTTGTTTTCTTTATTAAGCGTTTTGTCAATTTTTTTTTCTGCTTTTTAACTATTTTCAAAAATGAACAACATACCACTGCCACCACACAATATACCAAAAAGAATTAATGGTGTATTATAAGCCTGTGCACCTTTTAATGTAGCTCCCATTGAACAATGACAAATGGCAGTGATGATGGTTAGAAAAATATAATGTATTGGAACATTGGTCGTTTGAGCAATTTCATTTATTATTAAAAAAGAATGTTCATCCAAAATAAGCTTTAAATCCAATTTTTCGCTAATGCACTTTTTCATTCTTCGTATTCTTTCAGACTTTTCCATGTATTTTCTATCATAAACAATATATAATAAAGATTAAAATAAAATCATAAATTAAGTCTTACTCGAACTAAATGATAAACAGTGAAATTGATACGATTAGAAATGAATAATCAAGAAATAGATGTTTATTTGAGTAAGAGACGTCGCCAAGTGATTATCTAATTAGCATCAACTGAAGTAGTAAATAAGAGGGAAAAACTATATATAGAACAACTTAATAGATCAGAAGATAACTTTATACTTAGTTCAATATGAGGATTTTTTCTATAAATCATATATAATAATCGCATAAAAACATTTTATTTCATGTATTATTAAGTAATACAGCAGATAAAAGGAAGAAAAATAAAAATTTTATCAGTAAGAAAAAAAAATATCTCATAAAAAAATTGAGTACGATTAGTTTTTTTATAATGACGGTACTAAAATTTTATTTTAAGTAATTATATCATTAGAGGGGTAAAATAAGAATCTTCAAAAAGCTATATATTCAAAAGCGCCATTGATTTATTTATCGTACATCAGTCAATCAATTAATTTCTATTATTACTTGTGCATAGTTTCTACTTGATAACCGATTGAGATTGTATAATTTGATCGATAAATATGAAATTATTATGCATATAATATGTCGTATGTGTTAAGAAAAAAGATGACTGATTTCAAGAAAATAATTTTATAAAATATAATTTATTTATTAATTAGCAATTGGAAAAAAAACAAAGTAAAGAATATATCTATCTAAAATATTATATATCAACGTTTAGTCGGTTTTTCATTTAGGAAATTAATACAATATGTCGTCTATCACTACAAATGAATTGAGTACGTTTTTTTAATGAATTAATTTATTGTTTTTATATAGGTTTATTCTTGTATATTTGTCAGAATATATTTCGTATAAGTCCTATTGTAATGAGTTTTATCATTTAAATAATGATGTTGTACTTCAAGAAGAAGTATTCCAACATATTGTAGTTTTATATTTTTAAGAAGATTTAATGTATATATATATTATTTTTTTTTATTATTATTAAGATTTACAATCAATGAATAAAGATATTAGTTATATTAATTCAACACATGGAAAACGTCAATTAATATTTCATGGAGCACGATATTGTGTAAAGCAAAATAATGTAAATTCGACTTTATGGAGATGTACAAAAGAAAATTGTCCTGCAAGTGTTTCCGTTTCACATAACGATATTATAATAAGAGTTAATGAAAATCATGCTCATTTTATTGATTTAAATCACATTAAAGTTTTGGAACTTCGTCATAAGTTAAAACATCAAGCAGAAACAAGTTCTGATCCAATTGAAAAAATAGTCGAATTCTCTTATGCAAATATGATTACAAAAGAAAAAATAACAGATTCAGTTGTGAAATTACCTACAGTAAAAACATTAAAAAATACTGTTACTAAACAACGTCGAAAAACTAGACCACCATTACCAAAATTACTAGATGATTTAGCTTTTCCACTTCCACTGTTATATACATTAACCGAAAATAATAATAGATTTCTTTTATTTGATGGACTTTTAGGTGGAAAACGAGGTTTAATTTTTTCATCTGAACATGATATTGAATATTTAGCATACCAAAAATGGTGGTATGCTGATGGTACCTTCTATACTTCTCCATCTATATTCTATCAAATATACAGCATACATGCGTTTGATGAAGGACTATCAACGCCTTGTGTTTTTGCATTATTAGCTGATAAACTCGAACCAACTTATCATGATTTATTTTCAATACTAATGAATAGAATAAAAGAAAAATCAAACACAATACAACTTGAATGTATTACAATTGACTATGAACTTGCTGTAAAAAATGTATTTGATAAACATTATCCACATATCAAAGTAAGATAAATACGCAATTATTTTAAATTTATTTATATATGGAAATCATTTTGAATTATTTCCTTTTTAAAATTATTTGATTGACCAAATTTTACAAAAAAAAACAGATAATAGTTTATTTAAATAAATGATAAAATACTCAATTATGAATCAAATACGATTTTTTAAAATGTAATTAGTAATAATAAAATAAACTAAAAAGGAAAATTTTACAGTTTTATCATAGTTTAATACTTTTTTCTTTAATATCTATGTAGGTAAAAGGATGTCTTTTCCATTATGGAAAAGCACTTTTTCGAAAGTTCATGAACTTAAATTTAAAAAAAGCATACCAAGACGATGAATCTCTACGTATATGGTTCAGGAGTTTTGCTGCAATTGCACTACTACCGGAAACCAATATGGACGAAGCAAATCATTATCTGCGTTCAACGAAACCATTGTTATATGAAAAGGAAATCATTTTATTCTTAGATTATCATGATAAAACATATGGTATTAATAGTAGATTTCCACCAACTATGTATAATCACTATCGAAATCTTAATCCTCGAACAACTAATTATCTTGAAGGACGTCACAATCGATGGAAAAAAAGATCAACGAAACCTCATAATGATATTTACATGTGTATTGATATGTTCAAACATGAACAATTGTTAGCATCAGATGAAAGACAAAGACATGAAGCAGGAGCAGCTCCGCCAAAAAGACGAAAAAAAACTCTCATAGCCGAAGAATCATTATCTCGTTTATGGGATAAATTAGGAAAAAATCAGATTACTAGAGACAAATTTTTAAAGGGTGCGGGACTTCGTTATTTTCAATATATGAAAATTGAATAAATTAGTGAAATGATAAATCTTTTAATTTTCTTTTTAAATATAAATTAAGTCTATATTGAAAATAATTGAAATGATATGGTTTATAAGTTTATTCAGTAAGTTTATTGATTATATATATTAAACATGAATGAAAATAATGCTGTTTTATTTTATTTTTTGTTCATATTATTTAAAATAATAAGAAAAAAAATGGTCATTAACTTTAATAATATTTTCAATATTTTCTTATATTGGACTTGTGTGCACTATTAGTTGGGGGAATTGATGTAGATATGGTTGTTTGTAGTAAATATACACATATCTGTTGTTGCGGAGATTCGAATGTATTTGCTATGATATTGGAATGAGTGTTTAACTTTTATATTATACTATATATACATAGGCGTAAATCCATTGAAAAATATTATTATGTATATGATTATCTATTATATATATATTTATAATTAGGTATTTTTTTTTATAAAGCAATATATAATTACTTGATATTATTATAATAATATTTAGTTGAATATTTTCGTAAATTTGTTCTTCTAAAAAGATAAACTTGTATACAATTTCTTTTTTATTAAAATAGCATACATTTTTTTGAACATATAATGGTGTATAAAATTTGATAAATTTTGATTTATATGATAATTTATATGGCAATTTTTAGTTCCCAAAAAGGTTTGAAAGAATCATTTTTCATGTATATTATTTATTATATTCATTGAGTGAGATTTTTATTGTAGTATTGTTGGTCGACTCTTTTATGTAAATAGAATAGGTAGTATTATATTTAGTCTTGATACAGACCAATGCTTTAGTACGTATAAAAACAAGATTTTCAGGTGATTGGCAGCAAGAATTATTTGAAGATGATGCATTTAATTGTTATATATGTTTATATGAATATGAAAAAGAGTAATTGATATTAAATATAACTTTAAAAAAAAATTAACTATTTATATATTGTTTATTAATATAGTGATTATTTATCAACTGAGTTTGTCATGATAGATTATTCGGATTTTGTTCCCAAGAGAAAGGCTGGCGGTCGGAACCTATCGGATGGACCTCAAATCCGTTTACATCCGACGACCGGATTTTTTTCCGATCTAATCCGGCACGGATTCTCATGCGCAGGATTCCGAGACAAACCAAGTCGGAACCGATAAATATAAACACGGATTTCGACGGATTCCGACGAAGTCCATTACATATACGGTAGCTTCCAACGTGATCCTACCGGAGGATCTGATGACATACGCCCTTCACGCAGAACATCGGATTGTGACGGTACCTCTCGGAACTGCCAAGAAATATGGGCGACAGCTTTCCGACGAATTCCGACAAAGGTCTCAGACCGAAACATACCGAAAACGACCAACCAACAAATCCATTCATCCAAAAAAAAAACATAGTTCACAAATATAATGAACTATCACATGATTTCAATGCAATGTAAACTATTTCACACAATTTGTATATTTTCTCATTGATTGGTGAAACCAGCCAGCAACAAATTAGCAACCTATGCTCAATTTAGTAAATACATCGATTCACACTAAAACTAAATACTTTCCAAAAAGAAGAGGAAAAAACAATATGATTTTGATATGATCTAAAATATTTTCTTAACTTTCCACATAGTCAGAATCATGAGGAAAATAAGCGAGCAAAAAATGAGCATTATATGCACATTTCCGTAAATACAATGAGTCACACTGAAACAAAATACTTTCCAAAAACAAGAGCAAAACACGTATGATTTTGATATGATCTAAAATATTTTTTTGAATTTTCTCATATTCAGAATTATGGGGAAACCAAGTGAGCCAAAAACGAGCATTATTTTCTCATTTTAGTAAATATATTGAGTCACACTTAAACTGAATATTTTCGAAAAAGAAGAGCAAAACAGATACGATTTTGATATAATCTAAAATTTTTTTTAACTTTCAAGATAATCAGAATTAAGAGAAAAAGAAGTGAGCGATCAAAGAGCATTATTTTTTCATTTTAGTGAATACATTGAGTCACACTTAAACTGAATATTTTCGAAAAAGAAGAGCAAAAAAGATATGATTTTGAGATCATCTTGAATATTTTTTTAAATTTTTTCCCATATTCAGAGTGATGGGGAAAACAAGTGTGCAAAAATTGAGCACTATTTCCTCGTTTTAGTAAATACATCGAATCACACTTTAGCTAAATATTTTCCAAAAAGAAGAGGAAAAAAAATATGATTTTGATACGATCTAAAATATTTTTTTAACTTTCCACATAATCAGAATCATGGGAAAATAAGTGAGCAAAAAATGAACATTATTTTTAAATTTTTTTCGTGTACACGAGTTGCATTTGTACAAGTTCATTGAAATGGGTTTGGTAATGTTTTAAAACTATCAGATGCTGGTCGAACAGATAAATTTGTAAATTCATTTGCGTATATATTTTAATGAGAACTATGTTAATTTCTAAGAAGTAATTTACTGTATACTTTTTTAATTTGTCTCGCATAAGATACTAGTTAAGATTAAAAGCAATCCGATTTGTCAGCCAAGATAAATCATTTAAATCCCAAATGGATACTTTTCTGTTACCATGTATATTCATGGATGTTCGTTTTGGGTATTCACAAGTAACGATAGTACGTATTTTCCATCTTAATTATGATAATATATATTTAAATGGATAAATAGAAAAAAGAATTTGAAATATAAATTTTTTGTAATAATTTAATAGGGAGTAGAATTATTTGATAATATCAAAAATTTTGACATACTTATTATTTTAGAAGAAGACTCTGATCAATAAGGAAATATAAAAATAATAGATTATAATTTAAAAAAAGAGTTATTTAATTTATTGATTTGTTTATTGAAGAGTACTAAAAAAACAGAAATACTCACAAATTTATGATATTACTACTAATTTGTGAAATACTGATCCAAACGGGTTGATCAACTAGAATAAAATTGTATTTTTTATTTTCTATTGTTTAAAAATTGATGTAAATTATATAACAAATTTAGAGAAAGTAATCATTGACCATCAAACTTTCTAATGAAAGATAGAGATTTGCGGGCAATTAAAGATTTGTTTTTATTATTTGGTATTTCTAGATTATTCATTTGTTAATATGTCTTTTTTCATATATAAATATAACACTAAATTTTATTTTAATATACGATTCATTACATAGACTTGTAACAATACTCGAAGATTGATATATAATAAATTTAATTTTTCTCTTTTGCAACATATAATTGTCTTGATCTGTGGCAATTGTACGTGTACTAGCAGAATAATTTTTTGTAGTATGGATAATTCTATATAAATTTTATATATAATTTTGTTTTTAAAAATAACTCTATTATTTCGGTTGTATTATCATCACTATTCAATAATTGTTCGTTTCTATCAATGATGTTGTTAAATATTTCCATTATGATCTAAAAGTAAAGCTTTGTTTTTGAAACGTAAATATAATTCTTATTTCGTTTTTATAAAGACTACAGAATTATACTGATATGGTGTTATATCGAATAGAAAATAGGGATCCAACCTATTATCACATTAGAATATTGTACATAGAGAAATTATATTTTCTCTTTAATCATTATGATTATTATAATTCAACAAATCGTTTTTTTTCTGTATTGTTTCATAGTAACATAATAAAAAAGAAGAGAATATTCAAAGGATATGATCTTTTTGAAATCAGAACTATTATTTAATATCAAAAATGTCTTTTACTATGATTTTATAATAATTGAGATATCTCTATTACTGTCTAACTTCAAATAATAGATATGAAAAAAAAAACATTCTGTTTTATTCCATATATAAGTACTTCATATAATTAGATACAATGTACAATAATTATTGAAAAGATTTGGACTGAATTTTTTTATGTAAATGTGATTTGAAATAATGCTTTGATTCGAGTTACACTATAATTAATACATAAAGAAATATAAAATGACTCGAAAAAGATAGAGAGTGTTTGGGGTTCTTATTAACAGATAATAATTGAGAGTAAATCTACCATATTTGATCAACTATTGCACTAATGGTCTTGTGAATTGTATTAATCGAATGAGATATGAAAGAAATATTCATCATAATAGTTTATTTAATTCATGTGAAAAAAAATCCCTACATTTCATAATTTATATAATCGAATTATGTTAATAAACAGTTTTAGTTGTATTTATATTCTTCAAAACAGATCTTTAATAATAAATTATCATTTTTCTTATTGAAATTCCGCTTTCAATCAATAAGATTTGTTGTGATGGAATAAGTTGTGAATGAATAGAAGCAATCATCGAATTGGACATGCTTTAATCATGTATTTTAAATATTCTATTCGCATTAGTTTTATAAAATTAAAGAAAAAGATTTTTATTTATTCAACTTTCTACTAATCGTTAACGCTAAATATTAAATATATATTAAATATTGTTTTATAATATAGGAAAAAAAAATTGGAAATTATGAGATTCAATATATGCTTGTAAATGGAAATGAATGATTTCTTATTTATATCTTATATTACTTTAGATTATTTGTTTCTTTTTTATCGATGTTGTTTATATTAAAAACGACTTTTTTTGGTGTTAATCAAAGTAGCTGAAGATAAAAAGCCCTATTTGCGAATAATTCACTATTGTCGAATTATGAACAGTTGATTTTATTTTTTTTTAAACATATTCTAAAACAACCAAGATACAACTGCATTACAATAAATCAAATTGATTCTGTTTTAGGAAACACTTATAATAATAATAATGCATGTTACTTATTCAAAAATAAGTACATGCGAAAATTGATGACATGTCGGACAGATATGATGTCTGTTATTATAATTATAACATTTTTATGCCTGATATGACTGCAAGAATATTGAACAGTTTCATAATAATCATCATATATTAGTAATAAACATAAATCACATGATGCACAAGTAATTTGTTCAGCCATTTTAGTATAAACAACATACTTTGAATTAT